ATGCTAACCATATGGATCAACTCAGAGAACGTAAGGTATATTAATTGGAGGCTAATGCTTCTATTTGATGTTACAGTACTTAGAAGGGAATTATTACTTACTACACATATAACACATAATTAATACTTATATATGGTATGCATATAATTTAATGTGATGATGTTTGACTCATCCCAGAGGACATAAACAAACATATTTTTCACTTCATTGAATTTTAAAGTTTCTATGTGTATTTTAGAAAGACACTTTGATCTTAGATTTGAAAATGGTCAAAAATAACCTGCTGGCAGAAAAAAATAAAGTTCAAGTAGAAAACTATGAATTAATCATTCTTTCAGTCATTCAACTATTGTTTCATTGTTGATAAGTTAAGTGACATACTGGTTACATTTTTTAACATTAATCCTTCACATAAGAACCCACTGATTGATACATATCCCTAAACAAGCTCTGTGGAAATTTAGGTTTACCCCACAGAAGCAGGGGAGAGAAAAGTGAATTCAAGACCATAGTTTAAACAAGAAGTATGACTTGCAATGCACTTTTTGGCTTAAATACAAATTTTCATCAAATGTCTAGGCACAACCACAAATAAGAAGTCAAAACAAAGTTGCATAGTCAGCCTAACATTTAAAAAAAAATTAATGCTAATTAATAGTTACTTTCAAATGGTACATTTTCCCACATTTAAACTTATGAAAATTTCCCTCTGCTTAACATAAGCAATTTTAAAAAGAGCTGGTGAATTTTGCAAATAACAACAAAAATGTCCTAATCTTTTAAAATTAGATCAATATTTTCATTGTAATACTTTTTTGTCTGTTAATTTTACAGTGCCAATCTACAAAACATTTCCCAGTGGTGTTTGTTCTCAGAAGTAGACAATAAAGAGGCATCGCTCTTCTTCATTAAAAGGTGCACACTGGCAGGGGAAGAATGCATGAAATAGAGCAGTCTACCTTGGGAGCTTATTAGGATAGTTAGCACTATAAAGTGAGGATATTGAATTAATTCCATAACCTGAAGCTCGAGACCATCAAATACATAAACAAATATACCTATATTTATGCATATGATATCTTCTGAAATCAGAATCCTAACTTCATTAGTAAATACTTGAGAGTGTGAAATTTTAATACTATAATTCTAAAGACAGTAATTTTAATTTTCTAGATTTTTTTTTACATTATTCTCACTCACTGGCAACATACAGCTTTGAAAGGGGGGGGAGACTCAAGATCCCTCCCCCAAAAAATAAAAATGGGCATACACAAAAGGCTGGGCTCTCACTGTCCTTCCAGACTGTGACTGACTCTCACATGCAGCACAGATGTCTTTATCCAGGAATTCAGATATCCTCAATTGCTACATTCTTAAAATCCCTGTCGACAGAATTGTGTAGGAAATAAAACAAAAACACCTTTCTATCACAGGCGTTTGGTTTAGGAAGAGTCCAATAAAAGGCAAGACCAGCGCCAAGAGCCAACAAGACAAGACATTGGAGATAATGTATTGACCTCTAAGCAGTGCTCTCCCTTGGCGGATTGTTCGGCAGAGTATAACTGGGACTCCACGGGTCCTTCTGCTCATGAGAGCAAAATCAGATATCTTCAATTGCTACATTCTTAAAATCCCTGACTACAAAATTGCAAGAAGTCCCAGAGCGAACTCTGAAGAGCTTTAGTATGAACCTCACAACTCCCTGGAGGCCTTTTGTGGGCTGCCTCCATACTTAACAGTTAGACAGACGTAGAATCTGCCCCAGGGGCAATGTCTTCTCTCTCTCTCTTTCGAGGTCTCGCTCTCTCTCTCTCCATATTTTCTCCATAAAGTAAAACAGACGTCTATGGATTCCAAGTGAGAATCGAATATTTGACTAGGACTCTCACACCAAGGAGCTGCAGACAACAGCAGACAGCTGCAGAGCTGCACCAACAGGCCCGCACCCAGGGCAGCCTAGGCACCTCCTAGATTTCCTGGTCCAGCGCAAGAGAAAACTGGGGTGGGGGCGGCGGCCAGCGAGTCCAGGGCAAGGTTCCAAAACTGGTAAAAATCTAGCCTGATGTGAAATTAAGAAAAGCCAGCCCGAAGGTCCAGCTTTTGCCTGGCAAACCTGAGAGAAGTGCATTTTCAAGGGGGGTGTGGGTCCCTTCCTTCGCCACAATAAGATTATTCCTAAGGAACCCACCGGGGCTTGTCTCATTTCCTGGGATGGGGAAGCCCCACGTAATTCTTCCGTTTGTCTTTTCCCCTAAAGGAAGCAGATGAACGCACGCATGATCCCAGTGTGCCGAGGGGGTGGGGAGGAGTTCATTTCCTTTGAGTGAACAAAATTAAGTCAAGTCCCCCTGCGCTGGTGACGAGAGAATTTCCTGGAGCCTCGGGACACTTCTCAGACCCTGTCCGCCCCTCGCCCAGACGCCGCGTCGGGTGGGTGAGGAAGGAGGTGGATTCTGCCTGCGCCCTTCTGTGCAGCCAGTCCTCGCATTGGGTCCCAGGCGTCCGAGAGCACTAGGCACGCACAAGCCAACGCGTCCTCACATTTCCTATTTGCATAACTATTGACCAAGGAGTGGGATAAATATCCCCATTTCCTGGTTATGGCACCTAGACTCGGAACGCTAACAGAACTTGCCCACAAAGACTAAGGGTCAGGAGCCAGTTTCCCCCCAATTCGGAATTCGCCGCTTTCAATTTGCGCAGAAAAGGGGGTGCAGAAGGCTCGGTCCCCGGGGGCACCGCAACTTATCCCCTCCAGCTGCTCCGGGCTCTGGGCCTGTAAGGTCCTGAGACACCCCTGGCGGCTTCCGCACGCTCACGGATGGGGAGCGATTCTGCTGGGAAAGTGGGCAGGGGAGAGCTCCCGAGGGAACGGAGGAACTTATGTGAACGGGAGGAGGGGGATGCTTTCCATCCTCGGCCAGAAGTGCCACGCACTCGGCTCTCCCGTGGTCTCCCTTCTCCGTGCTGCACTGCCTGTCGTGGGCCCTTGTGCGTGATGTTTCTCGCTAAAAGTTGTCCTTCCTGCGGATTTGGAAGTCACCCTACGGTCTGTGCTTTGTCATGACCCTCATCTCTCTCTTTATTTCTGCCCCTGCCCTGTCGCATTTCAAGGAAATGAGCTCTCAGAAGAGAAAGCCTCTCTGTTGGCAATCTCACAGAAATGATGGAAATGGTTGCAGGGCGTTTTTCTTCCCCTCTGCTATTTTTTTTTTTTTCGAGTGAACTGTGAAGATCTGTGAAAATAATATCAGGGTTTCCCGTCAGAACGAGCTTTGCCCTGCAATGAGGCGTAGCATGATCTGACCCGACACCTCCAACCATCTGTGCTATCTATCTGCCTTCTGACTTACCGGGGCTGCACAGCCGCGCACAGATTGTACTTGATACTAAAGAAAAGGCAGCCGGGCCCAGTCCAGGTCCAGGAGAACCTTCCTCGTGGATTCCTTTCTTGGGATGGACCTTTAAAGGGGGTTTTCCTTGGACCCCCACCCCCACCCCACCCAATCATTTTCTTCAAACTAAACCCCAGGGAAAGGCCCAGGTGAGATTGGGGTTGCTTTTTACCTTGACCTCAGAACACGGTAGGATGCAAACGTCAGTTGGAAATCAATAAAAGTTACGAATTCAACCCTTGGACCTGAAGGCAGGGCAGCCAAGAAGGCCCTTCTCTGAGGGCGGGGTCAGTGCTCAACAGCTTAGTAAGCGCTTTCCGCCCTCCCCCCTCCCACTCCCACCCCTGCAGACCATTGTTGTGCCACTCTTTCCCTCCTCTTCCCCCCATCCCCCCTATTTCACCTCTACTGAATTACTTTTGTGCTAAAAAGGCCAAGGTTAGAGTTTCTATCCCCAGCTTAAGAGTTAAGTGTTCCAACACAGACTAGGGGAAAAACTAGCCTTCCAGAAAAAGCAAATCAATATTTTTTTAAAAAAAAAACTTTGAAATAAGCTTTTAAGTTGTTGTCCTGACCTGCCAATGACTTCTCACTCTAGATGTGGCCATGCCGCCCATTTATTCAAGTCCATTAAACTGGGGGGGGGGGGGGGGGGGAGTAGGAGGGGAGGGGCAGAGAGGCTGAAAAGTATAAACTTTTGGAGGGTGCGATGCCCCTTTTCCTACGAGTGTTTGACTTCGGGGCCAGCACCTGGCTCTGAGTGATTTCAGGAGGCCTGTGAAGGTGGTGGTGGTGGGGTGTAGTGTCCACACTGACCTCCTTACAGATCCCGGGTCCGTTCCTTCTGCTGCAGATTGGCTCCCCACTGGGCTGCTTTGGCAGACAGATAAGGAGGAAAGGCATGCGGGGATGGGTGCTGCTGGGAAGAAATGAGGTGATCCACTTTCCCTCCCTCCCCGAGCCTGCGCTCCCCCGCAACTGTTTGCCTTTTGGCTACGACTAAACGACGGATCCTTGGAGGGTTTCAATTTGGCCAGTCCTCTTTGTCCACTGGAGACCTCTTGACCCAGGCAGAGCATCGCCCCAAAGTGGATTCCTGTAGCTTCGCTGCCTCTTGGGGGCGGGGGTGGAGGTTGGGGAGGGTGGGAGAGGGCGGGGGACAGAAGAACAAGGTTAGGAAGGGGAAGGGGGGGGGGGGGGTTTGAAACGCTGCTGCTCTGGACTCTTTCCGCCCAGCTACTCGCAAGTCTTTTCTGCCTCGGGCTTCTGCAAACAAAATGCTGCGGGGAAGTCCACGGGCGGGCGGACAGCGGGCGCTGTCGAGAGCGGGGAGGTGCTGAAATGGCCTAGACGCCCCGGTTGCGGTCTTGATTGGCAGAGCCGGCCGGTGACTGACAGGGGGTCTCCATGGCGCCCGGGCTGCCAATCCGCCCACCCCAGTAGAGAAGCCCGCTCGCCCGCCAGCTCGGCCCTAACGGTGCAAAGCTGGACCTGAGCCGCGGAGCCCGCACCTCCTCCCACCCCTCCCGCCCGCTCGCTCCCCGCAGGTGCGTCTCCACCACCTCCACCTCCGCCACCTCCGCCACCTCCACCTCTGCCGCCGCTGCCATCCCAACGACCAGCCCGGCTGCCCAGAGCTGGTGCACCGCGAAGAGCCTGGCGCACCCGGCGGGCCGGTGGGCATCCGCCGCCGCGCGTCCCGTCCCCGGCTCGGCACTCCCGCCGGCGCCGCCGCCGCCCCCATGTTCCAGCTGCCCATCCTGAACTTCAGCCCCCAGCAAGTGGCGGGGGTGTGCGAAACCCTGGAGGAGAGCGGCGACGTGGAGCGCCTGGGCCGCTTCCTCTGGTCGCTGCCTGTGGCCCCGGCGGCCTGCGAGGCCCTCAACAAGAACGAGTCGGTGCTGCGCGCCCGCGCCATCGTGGCTTTCCACGGCGGCCACTACCGCGAGCTCTACCACATCCTGGAGAACCACAAGTTCACCAAGGACTCGCACGCCAAGCTGCAGGCGCTGTGGCTCGAGGCGCACTACCAGGAGGCGGAGAAGCTGCGCGGGCGGCCGCTGGGGCCGGTGGACAAGTACCGGGTGCGCAAGAAGTTCCCGCTGCCGCGCACCATCTGGGACGGCGAGCAGAAGACGCACTGCTTCAAGGAGCGCACGCGGCACCTGCTGCGCGAGTGGTACCTGCAGGACCCGTACCCCAACCCCAGCAAGAAGCGGGAGCTCGCCCAGGCCACCGGACTCACCCCGACGCAGGTGGGCAACTGGTTCAAAAACCGCCGGCAAAGGGACCGGGCAGCTGCTGCGAAGAACAGGTCAGTCCCTGGAGCCTCCCGCCGTGCGCTCACCCGGGAAGGGGGCGGGGGGCGGCGGGCGGAGAGCCCTGCGACTTGGATGCGAGCACGGTCTGCGCCTTGAGTTTGGAGACCCTGCGTTCTGGGATTCTGGGCAGGGGGTTCCTTCCGGGCACTTGGTTCTACGCAGTCCCGTTCTGGGAGCCTGGGGAGCCGGTCCAGCAGCTGGTTCCGGTCACCAGATGCAGGCTGCATTGGTAGGAGGACAGAAGTTAACGTCCCAGGAACAATGAGGGACCTCAAGGCCCAAAGCTAATTCTCTTATTATTAAAGAAAGTCTGGCTTGTGAGCGGTGCGGCCGTGTATGGGCCGCTTGAAAGCCCAGATGTGCTGTGTCCCTCTCTGATGCTATGAAAACAGTTTTCCGTTGACTTCTGCTTCTAAGAAGTGGGAAGTGGAGCTCCTCTCTTCCCATGCGTGGGCAGCCCACTCTCAAAACAGCAGATTAGTGGGCCATGGCTTTCTTTTCTTTTCCAGCGTATGGCCCTCAATCGGCCAAAAACACTGCCTCTTCCCCCAGGCCCAGATGCTCCCTGCAGCTCTCAGGCAGCCCCTTTTTGCCCTTAGCTTTGGGCCGACCAGGCCTTGGAGGCACAGATACACCCTGCCCCGGAGCCCACTCTGCCCTTGTCACCCACACTCCCTTTATCCTGACAGAACTGTAAATCTCTCAAAGGTGGCCAGCATCCGGGAATGACCCTGGGAGCCCAGCATCGGAAGCCTGGGGAGACTGGGAGTAGAACGGGCGCTGAAGAAGGGCTCTGCAGAGGTGGCTGAGGACTCCTGCCCAAGCCCTGTTGCCTCCTGTTGCCTCATCTTGCTGGCTTTAACGCCCGCCCAGGTTCTGAGGGAGAGCCATTGGCCACGACAAGGACCAGGGGGCAATGGGAAATATATTAAGCATCTTTCATTCCTTCCCCGTAGACTCCAGCAGCAAGTCCTGTCTCAGGGCTCCGGGTGGGTGCTGAGAGCCGAGGAGGAGGGCAGTACGGAGGTGCTGGGAACCACAGCCAGCCCAGCCGCCAGCCTATCCAGCAAGGCAGCCACTTCAGCCATCTCCATCACGTCCAGCGACAGCGAGGGCGACATCTAGGCTGCCCACACAGCAGGCTTGGAAACAGAATCCAGTGTATAAAAAGACACAGACAAAATGAAGGCGGGAGGGAAGAGGAGAGACCCACAGACAATTGCAGCGCGTTGGAAGCCAGGTGGCCAGGGACTCTCTGGATGAGGTGCCTGCGAGAGGGTTGTCATGTTCGCCCAGTGGTACAGAGGCCCACGGTGAGACCCCACCAGCACTATGTTCTCTTTGCTTTGCTTTTTCCCAAGGAGAGTGCGTGAAGATGCCTCTGGAACCGGAACTGCACGCTGAGCGCCTGCCCCGAATCTCTGAATCTCCCGTGGGTATTTCATGTCAAAAGGACGCTTTATGTATAACTTTTGCTTTAAAGTTTTTTTTTAAACAAAACATAGATATGCTGTTTATTTACTTATTTAAGAGACTGGTATGATAGGCTTCCCTGTATCTTGGAAACTTGCTGTTTCTAAAGGTGCAGGGTTCTGTATGAGGAAGTCAAACAATAAAAATCTGGTGAGCAACCTTTCCTAACTAAGGGAGCTACTCTCGATTCCTTAAAAAAAAAAAATCCTTTTTTTTGGGGGGGCGGTGTAAATAGGAGGAGAAAGGAGACATGTAATACTTTAAACAATAAAAAAAATCCTTTTTTTTTTTCAGGCAGGTGAGGACTCTAGTGCAAATGGTTTCCTTTGCTTTTTCTGATGTCTCCTGGTATATTTTATGCTACGTCCATAACCAAGTCAAATTGCATGCATGTATGTATGTATGTATGTACATACATGTGCATGATATATTTAAACCTAGAAATTGGCAATGTGACCATCCCCTATAAGGCAACTCCCCACACTCCCAGCACAGGTAACTATGGCTTATCCACCTGACACTCCCTTTTATTAAGTGTCAACGGCTTTTAAGAACAATTTAGAAAGACAAGTTCTAGGGCTTAATAGTGAATCCTATTTGATAAAAATGTAAGATTAATCTGCCACAGACTCTGCAGTGAGAAAGACTTTCCATCTCCTTTGAGGCCCCCTCCCATACAAAAGCAGAAGGTACTCACGATCATGCTAGGGTGAGCATATACTCCATTTAGGATTGAACTCATTAAACATAGACAAAAGGAGATAGGAGAGGCTGTAAAAACTAGATTAACATCTTGCCGCAGAGGCAGGTTTTAATCAAATGCATTATTTTCAACAAAAGGAATATACTACGATGGGGGAAGAATGTTCACATATTGAGGTGAAATAGAAAGCTGCGGATAAATCTTGACTTCTATATTAAAGATGAAAGAAATCACCGAGAGCTTCATTGTCCTGTAATTAAATTATAAATATTCTTAGTATTTAATTTGCCCTCCCTAAGTGTGCAGGCACACACACACACACACACACACACACACACAGAGTTCTTGCACTAAGACTGTAAATGCTATCCAGCTAGTCTCTAAGCTTTCATTTTTTCCCCCAGTGAAAAGGATAGCATATTACACAATTTGATGTTGATATTTAAATAAGTCGAGCTGAACTTCCTTCCTCAAGTATCCCTCCCCATTAGACTCCTTTCAATTTGCCTTTCTGTCCTTAACAGAAACCTGCTAACTTATTTGGATGGATATGCCAATGTGCAAACGGAACAAAAATAAGTGAAGTCATGGAAGACAAAAAGCAGTCAAATGGCAAGTTATATGGGGAAGCCAGCAACATAAATAAAGGTTGATTTTTGGTTTCTCAATGGCTGAAACAGATTTGGCCTCATTTGGGGCTTTCTAAGTGGTTGTCATTGTGGACAGCAGCCCTTAGCCAGGGATCTGTTGACAATCAACACTCTTTCCTGCACAAGAGCTCTAGGTGGAAGAGTAGGGAAGTCTTTGTGATCAAGCTGTGCTCTTCCAAAAGCAAGCAAAAGTCCCACTGCGAGCTGTGAAAGGCTTGGATGGCAGAGCTTCCTCAGGACTTTGTTATGTTTCCCAGAGTCCCTAGAATGCCAAGAAGCCGGGCCAGTTCTCCAGAGGAAGCAAAGGAGGCACCTGAAATTTAAGGAGGCATTCACTCTAAAGGTCAAGCAAGTGCAGCAAGTGCAAGGCACGGGGATTGAGTGCCTCCTTAAATTTGCACTCTTAGGTACCTCCCTCGATCACTCTGAGTCCTGAATCTGCCAGAAAGTACTGCACTTCAATGGAAAATCAAGGGATTTCCAGCCTTGTTCCCCAGCCTCACCCCATTCTGATTATGGAGCTGTCCAGAACCAGCATTTGAAGAAGATAGTTGGCAAATTTTATCTCTTAAGCTGATGCTTCCAGATCCAACAGGGAAGGGAAAGGCCTAATTAGTGGACTTATGTAAAGGAATTTGAGATTCTAAAATCCCATCCCACTCACCGGTTTAAATGAGGCCTAAAAGCAAAAGGAAATGTCCACTCTGCATTCTCAAGAAAAAGGGGCTCATGCTAAGAACTAAGCTTTCTCTTTAGAAATAATTTCTAAACAATTGCTCAGAAAAAAAAGGGGGGGGGGGAGGCAAACAGTAATGGAAGATTTTTCTTCCTGCTTTGGTGAAAGCCTTTCAAGTATATCTTTTTTAAAAAAACACATTTAATTTGCTTTAAGTAACCAGTTGCCTAAGGATGACATTATAAGTAGCTATTCTGTTTCCACCAATCTGGAGATTTAGCTAATATGTGTCCTATTATTTAAGAGACTTGAAAGAATGTTTATGTGAAACCCGGTGGCACCTCACTGCTTCTGTGAATAATCAAGTCTTATCACATGTTGGAAGTTGGTTTAAATCTACCTGTAGAAGGGTGTTGTCAACGTTTCATTTCCTTTAAACATTTTTTTGTTTTTGTTTTCCGTATCAGTTTTATCCTAGCCTTGAAAGGTGGTAGTTTTTTGTTTGTTTGTTTGTTCGTTGTAATTTCAGGAGGAAGCAATGTGGATGTTTCCTGAACTTGGAGAAATCTCCATATGATGGGTTTCCTTTCTTTCTTGAAATCCCTTTCCTGTAACAATTTAAACAACAACAACAAAATGTTACTCCAGCAAAGTGGAAAGAAGCTGCATTCTTACATTTCAGCAGACTTGACCCACGTGAGGGTTAGATCCCAGCCCTAGCTCAGGCTCCTTAACCGGTAACACGTATGTCAAACTCCCGTCATTCCCCCCAAAGCGCGATGGCTCCTGCTCCCCAAGGCCGCAGCTCCTGTGGCCTCCACTTTGCAGACCCACTCCGCCTCCTCCAGCCGCCGCCGCCTCTCTGGTCCCGTTTGTTTATGAAAACCTGGGAGGCAGGGAGGGGAAGAGAGGCCCGGGTAGGGGAGGACTTGTTCTTTGTTTACATTAAACAAATGCCAGGCCAAGAGCTCAAGCAACATCTTCCTTGACCTCGGTCTCTCTCCCTAATTTTAACAAAAAAGAAAAAAAAATATTGTATCAAAAGGCAACGTGAATGGGGCGGGAGGAGAGGGGAAGCGGCTTCTGGCTCCATTCAGCCAGGACGCGGAGTGCGCGGCGATTTCCGCCGCCTTTGTGCGCCGGCCGGGCGGGTGCGGGGCCTGCCCGGCGGCCCGCGGGGCTGTCAGGCGGCTCAGCGTAATCAGCGCTAATGACGGCGCCGGGCTCCGCGGGACAAAGCGCGGGCCTCGGGGTTTTGTCGGGCTGAATGGCTAATAGGTATGCCCGGGGGCGCGCGGGGGGCGGGGGCGGGGGGAGGCGGCGGCCCGGGGAGAAGGGGTCATTGTCCGCGCGCCGGCGCGGGCGCCCAGCGCGTCCCTCCGCCGTGCGCCCCCGGGAGCCCCGCGGATAGGCGGCGGCGGGGGCGCGGGCGTGAGGTTCCCTGGAGGAGGCGATCCTGCGCGGGGAGGTCGGCCTTTCCCCCCCAAGATAGGAGGACCACAGTGGCCCCAGGACGCGGGAAGGGGTTTCCTTCCTCCGGGCCCGGATCCTGACGGTGGATGGACGCTCCACGCACCACGTTTCCCGTCCAGCGCCTGGGAGTTCCCAGACGGGTAGACCGCGAGCCACGGGTCAGACCGCCTGCCTCAAGGAGCACGAGGGCAGAAACTTCTCCCAGCCAGGGTGCGGGGATTAAATAAAAATCAAGGTGCGGCCGAAACCGGTTTGGCTCAGTGGATAGAGCTTCGGCCTGCGGACTCAAGGGTCCCGGGTTCGATTCTGGTCAGGGGCATGTACCTTGGTTGCGTGCGGGCACTTCCCCAGTAGGGGGATGTGCAAGAGGCAGCTGATCCATGATTCTCTCTCATCGATGTTTCTAACTCTATCCCTCTCTCTTCCTCTCTGTAAAAAAATCAATAAAATGTGTTTATTAAAAAATTAAAAAAAAAATCAAGGTGCGGGCATAAACACAAATGAACGCTCAGGGGAGGGGGGCAGTTGGGGACACGCGCTCGCCCTCCAGCCTCTGACGGCGCGCGGGTCTGGGCCTGCGGTGAGGAGCCGGCGCTGGGCAGGTGGCGGAGCCCCTGGGCCGGGCGGGCCCCGGGACAGCTGAGCGAGTCCCCGCGCGGCGCCCGGAGAGCCGGTGGGCTCCAGGCGCAGGGAGAGGGCTTGGCGCGCTCCGCAGACCCGCGGGCCGGCCGTCGGGGCGCGAACCAGGGCCAGCGCGCCCTGAGGACCGAGTGTCCGCCACCGCACAGGCAGCCCCGCCGCCCCCTGAGACCCCTTCCAGTTGGAAACCCGGGGACTCACGTTTCTGCTGTTAGGAATCTCCCCGGGCTAGATCCTGCCCTGCTTCTCTAATAGCTAAGCTTTACCTTCCCAAATTTCTTTAGATCTACCCTACACAGCTTTCGCCACCTTCTCGCTCCCTTGTCTGGAGACAAAGGAGCGTGCGGGCGATCCCAGGCAGAACCCGCAGTTTCACGCCTCTGGCCTCTGCCCGCGCCCTTTCCGCTCGTCCCTTGGTTTCCCCGGCCCAGAACTGCTATTTGCTAAGCCATCAAGCCTGCCCCTCCTGGAGGGAGTCAGGCTCAGTTGCCTGGGCCCCCCTCAGAGACTTTCCCTCTCCCTTCTTAATGCTTCCGCCGTACCTTACTGAAATGTCTGTGTTAAAGGTTGTAATACACTAATGTATTTATATGTTTGACTCTCCCTCCTCTCCCCTCCCCCCCAGAGTGTTAGCTCTTTAAGAGCAAGGCAAAAGCCAAATCATATTCTTCTTTATCTT